TTTTTTTTTTTTTTTTTTGAGACAGGATCTCATTCTACAGCCTAGGCTGGCCTCAAACTTGAGGCAATTCTCTTGCCTCAATCTTCAAAGGACTGGTATGAAAGGTGTTACTCACCCTGCTGGTAACTCTTTTTGGTGCCATTTTAATCAATAAAATAATGATTTTGATGACACACATAAAATGAGTTTTTAAAACTGTTTATTGAGCTGCACCTGGTAGAACACACCTGCAATTCTAGAATTTAGGAGATAGAGCAGTAAGATTGTTGCAAATTAGCAGTTAGCTGCGTCCACAAAGTGAGTTCCAGGCCAGCCAGGGATGCAGAGTGATTCTAACTCAAAGCACAAAAATTACAGAGGAAAATAGAGACTGGGGGATTTTCTGACGATTTCCTGCATGCTTCAAACCAAGGGCTTTACACGAAATGATTCATTTAGTAGTAGCATATTGGTGGTAGAGAAGAAAGCAGAATCTAAATTTCTGGGCATTCTACACTAAAGTTACATACAAGAGTAAATAAAACTAAATGGCTTAGAGTTCTAAGCACAACATGTCTATAAAACATTTACATTGTCTTAAGTAAGTTTTGAGACAGTCTGGCTATGTAGCCTAGAACTTTTTACATGACCAGGCTAGCCTCCAACTTTCCATTCTGCCTGCCTCTGCTTCCTGAATGCTTGATTAAAAGCATGTGTCGTCATGCTGGGCTTAGTAATATGTTTCAATTAATTAATTAATTAATTAATTAATTTTTGGAGACAGGGTTTCTCTGTGTATCCCTGCCTGTCCCAGAACTGGCTCTGTAGACCAGGCTGACCTTTCAAACTCACAGAGATCCACTTGCCTCTGGCTCCTGAGTGCTGAGATTAAAGATGTGTACCACTACTGCCCAGCAGTAATAGATTTAAAAAAAAAAAAAGGATGAATTAACTTTTTATACAATCTCACTCTATAACCCAGGCTGTAAGTGTTATAGCTCTGAGGGGAAAGGCTTCACCTCAGAGTTATTGTTACATAACAATAACTTGGCAGTGTTATTGTTCTGAGGGAAAAGTCTTCCCTCATGGAGGTGCTGCAGCTCTGAGAGGGAAGGTTTCCCCAGTGGAAGTGTTCCAGTTCTGATCTGAGGGGAGAGCTTTCCCCAATACAAGTGTTGCAATCTGAAGGAGAGGTATCCTGGCAGCTGGGAGCCAAAGAATACCACAAAGTCACACCATATAACAAACCTCGCACAAGAGATTTCTCGGGAAAGACGCATGTGGGTGGCTGCCTCTGCTCTGTGACAAGAGGAGGCTGGTAACTGAGCAGGAGGCAGGCTTGCTATATGGTTTCTTGGGGGGCTTGGTTTCCCAAGGATTTCCAGACTGGAGATTGGTGAGATTTCAAGGGGAGCCCAGAGATTGGTGGGATTTTGTGCTTAGGGACTGGTGGATTTTGACAGGTTTTTAAAAGTGGGCTAGGACCTTTCCCCCTACATAGGTGGACTTGAAATTTTAATTGTCTTGCTTCCACTTCCAAAGTGCTGGAACCAAAGACCTATGCCACCACACCTAGCCATCCTCATCAATACATTTTATTTAATTTTAAAAGTTTTGATTGATTGACTGACTGCATTGATTCATTTATTTATGAGTCAGGGTCTCACCTGGTAGCCTTGTCTGGCCTGGGGCTCACTACATAGACCAAGATGGCCTCTAACTCACAAAGATCCTCTTGCCTCTGCTCTTGAGTGCTGGACTGAAAGTGTGCACCACCATGTGATGCTTTAATTTCTAAAGTTTTGAAATTTAAATTACATACCCATATAAACTTCAACAAAGTATCTAACTTAATCTTTTAATTAATCCCTCTTTTCAGGACCCCAGTAAAGTTAAAACTTGGAAGAATTAGGGGAAGAGGGATTGATTTACTAACTAAAATTTACAAATAGTTATTAATTTTGAAATAAAATTAACACTATCTCTTCTTTCCCTTGGTAGATTACCACATCTCTTTTAAATACACTTGGTTTCAAGGGACACATTGTCTTCTGTATCTCACATCTAGTCTAACTGGGGAATTCAAAACCTAAATGACTCCTAGTAGGTTAGTTTCATTATAAACACTTGTTTCTACAGAGTTGCTCTTCCTTTTCCAACAAGTATTTGCTCAATTATATAGTTCAAATAAACTTGGAGGAACCTCTGTGTTTAACTTATTTTTAGTTGAAATAGCTAGCCGAGGTATCACTATTCCTATTTTAAGGAACTTTCCTTAGGTTGTTTGTAATGGAAGCTAAGCTACTTGCGTTCACCTAAACAGAGAGGTTGGCATGAGTGCCTAGCAACAGCAGCTAAAACCTTCTGTTGTGGAAGGTTCCCTAGGAGTGAGACAGGAGGAATAGCAGGAGGAACAGATTATCTGTTTCTTCTAGTAGGGGACTGGGCCCTGGCTGAGGGAGGAACGGCTTTCCAAGAGATAACATTTAGATTAGTACATGCTGGCCTAAACTTTAGGGCTGCTGGAAATTAGGTCCCAGCTTACTGCAAGAGCCAGGCTCTTATCTAACTAGGGTATGTTCCCAGATGGTCAGCAGATGACTGAACTAAAAGAGAATAGTACAGAACCTTCTATGTGTTTACTTATACATAAGAATAATTAGGTTTAATTTACAAGTTAGACACAGTTAACAACTAATGATCAATAGAACAATTATAACAACATATTATAGAAATTCATTGAAAATTCATGAATTATTTCTGGAAATTTAATACTTTTGGTTTACAGTTGTCCCAAGGTAAATGAAATCATAGAAATTTCAGATAAGTGGGGCAGCTGTATTTAGTAGTTTAAGAGATTACAGATTTAAGCCGGGCAGTGGTGGCGCACGCCTTTAATCCCAGCACTTGGGAGGCAGAGGCAGGTGGATTTCTGAGTTCGAGGCCAGCCTGGTCTACACAGTGAGTTCCAGGACAGCCAGGGCTACACAGAGAAACCCTGTCTCGAAAAACCAAAAAAAAAAAAAAAAGAGAGAGAGATTACAGATTTAGTTCACTTCAAAGCAGCAAACACAATAAAGACATGAGTAAGTCTAAAAATAAGCTGAAATCTCACCACCATGAAGTTATAATCACTACAAAGAACTCTTGCAAGTTTAGGAAAATGTGTAATATTTTAGCAATAATATAAATTCTACTTGAGCTGGATGTACTGGCTTACACTTATAATTCTGAAGTTAAGAGGTGAAAGGGCTTGCCGGGCAAGAAGTGGTGACACAGGTCTTTAATCCCAACACTTGGAAGGCAGAGGCAGGCAGATCTCTGAGTTTGAGGCCAGACTGGTCTACAGAGTGAGTTCCAGGACAGCCAGGGCTACAGAGAGAAACCCTGACTCGAGAAACCAAAAAAAAGAAAAAGAAAATTTAAAAAAAGAGGTGGGAGGCTAGCCCCATGAGTTACATTGTGTACTCCACACCAGCCTGATCTACAGGGCAAGAAAGAGCCTTTCTCAAGAACCAAAACCAAGCCAGGTGGTATATAGTTATAATCTCAGCTATCAGGGAGAGAGGAGACAAAGGATCAGAACTTCTAGGACAGGCTCCAGGATTCTTTGTTCCAAGAATAAAACAACAACAAACAATCAAACACCTACAAAAAATCCCAAACCAAAACAAAGCCCAAACAACAAAGCCCAACAGCCACCCAGTAATTGTTTACTGTGAGAGGTTGAAGTAGTTTTTTTTTTTTTAATGGATGTTGGTGAGGGAAGAAAGGACAGGCTGGGCATGGGTACCACACCTTTAATTCCTTCACTCGGAAGGCAGAGACAGATGGAACTCTGTGAGTTCAAAGCCAGTCTAGTCTACAGAGGAAGATCCAGGATAGCCAAGGCTACATAACAGAGAGACCCTGTCTCAAAAACAAAACAAAAAAAGAACAACAAATCCTTTGCTTTCACAGCCAAGGCAGGAAGCAGAAGGAGAGTGGGGAGCATTATATGGTTCTGATTTGAGGACAGTTTTAATGTGAAAATTAGTATATAAACTTAATACTATATAGTATTAGAATTCCATTTTTTTTCAGTTCTCCAGAGTTTGGCTAAACCGAATCCTAAGATGTGTACACACAGATACACAAACGCACACACCACAATATAGAGTACTGGAGAGGGGTGGGATGTAAAACAGATACAAAACTAGAGGAAGGGTTCAGTGCTTAAGAGAAACGGCCTAACACACACACACACACACACACACACACACACACACACAGAGTCTCTCTATTTCTCAGCTGGGGGAGAGGTAGTATGTAAGTTAAAAGGATACACACACACACACACACACAAATTCGCGGGCGCGTGGTGTTAGGGAAAGGAAGCATATAAGAAAAAAGATGCTAGAGTAGAGGAAGAGTCCAGACCTGAGAAAGTGACAAGCTCAGAGGCAGCGGGAGACTCCATAGGAGCGAGCTTACGGGCACCGCCTGGCCTCTTGCCTGCCGGGACCAAAGGCACTATGGCCACAGGCCCGGCGGGTGGCCGGGGAGGAGGTGGGACAAGTTTCTCCACTCGGGGCGCGACAGCGCTCGGGACACGGGCGGGGCGCGTTGCCCGCTCCAGGCAGGGCGTTGGGGCAGGTGACTCAGAGCTTTCCTCTGGACCCCGCCCTCGGCTGGCACCGCCCACAAAGTAAGCCACGCCCCCCACTCCCTTGGGCCCACCCCAGGAGGAGGAGCCTCGCCCTCATCTCCGCCCCAGTCTCGGGGCGGGCCAGAGTCTGAGGAAGAGGAAGGGGACGAGGACAACGAGCGACGGGCGGCGGAGGACGCGGAGGAGGAAGGGGAGGCCGACCAACAAGATGGCCCCTGCTGCAGGAGCAGCCTCAGCAGCAGCAGGTGGGGGGCTGGAGGCGGCGCTGGCGGTGGCGGCTACGGCCGTGGTCCGGCGGCCTGGGACAGAGTCAGAGTCGATGGTGGCAACGGCGGCGGCGGCGGCTGCCGCGACGGTGGCGACGGCCGCAGGGACTCGGAGCTGAGAGGAGCTGCTGCTCGGACCAGCGCGGTGAGCAAGTGGCGGACGGCAGTGTGGGGAGTGGGGAGTGGGGCGGCCGCAGCCGAGAACAATAGACAGCGGCTGCGGGGATGGGGCTGTCCTCACCCGCCCTGCGCTCGGGACCGGCCCCAGGGCTTGTCAGTGGCCGGCGTCCTTTAGGCCTCAGGCCTCCGCGTGCCTCCCGGAGGGCCTGCCGGGGTAGGTAGGCCGAGGGGCGGTGCGGACGCCGCCCTGGACGCGGGGAAGGCTGGGGAGCCTGGGGCGGGAGGAGGGGGGGGTTCGAGGCTGGCCGGTTCCGCGGTCCCTCGGAGGACAGCGGGCGGGCGGAGAGTTTGCTCGCAGGAAATGTTGTTTGGACCCCTGTCTGTGCGGTGGGGGAGGGAGTAGGCGCCTGTAAACAGCCGCCGCTCCTGCATAGCTGCCAGGCGTGGCTGCTCCCTCCCCAGCCCCCTTCCTCCCTTGGCCAAGTGGGTTTTAGGGTGTCGGTTTCCCTGGAGTTCATGAAGATAAACCCTATTGGCCAAGGAAAAACCATGTGCAGGTGCCTTTTTCAAAAAGACTTAAGTGTACAACAACAAAAACAACAAAATGTGGTCGTTGGTAAAGGATGGAGTAGTAAGGGGTGGACCTTTCCTAACATCATTCTAAACACCAGGTCTCTCTGTAAACACCACTGTACTCACATCCCTGGTCAGAGCGAGCCAGCTGAAACAAGGGCTCTTTTGAAGCAGCAATAATGTAACTCTTGACATCCCAGAATAGTCTGTGAAACTGGAAACAAAGCCACTTACTGGCAGCACGAAGGCAGATTGTTAAGGTTTGAGCAGAACTTTTCCAACTAGCCATTTTGAATTGTGTACAGCAGGGGAAATATCATTAACCTCTTTGGTAAAGTATGTATCTTCTGGAAGCACTTACTCAGGAGAGAGAAGTGGTTCATCTGTTCCCTTAGGTTTCTTGTGTCTACCTCATGTTCTACTATTTGTTTGTTTGTTTGTTTATTTATTTATTTATTGCCACGTTGTCTTAAAATTGGAGACGATCCTTTTTTCCTCAGTTTGAAATTTCATATTTAAAGCCTACTTTCTAAGATTTCAGACACTTTTAGCCTGGCGTTATAATGCTTGCCTGTGAATCCTAGCACTCGAGGAGGCGGAGACAGACAGAGGTTCCTGATTTCAAGACTGACAAGACTAGTATCAAAACACTAAGTCAACCAAGGGAACACCAGACAATAGAAACTTTTACTGGTATTTTTCAAAAACAAAAAACACTTGTGATTCTGTTTTAAGTGGCTAGGCTTAGGGTGAGGCACCTCCTTTTATATTAGTATTTATACTGCAATAATATCTTTAAACTTAAAAGTTAACTATCTCTCCTAAGTGTAATTTTTCTAGGCGTTTACCACATACATTTTCAAATGGAGGAGGAAGAGGTAAATTTTACTCCAGCTTCTACCTACGTGTGCAGAAAATTGTATTAAAAAGCTTGAAAGCATTCAAGAAGACTGCTTAATAGTTGTTGACTTGTGGGATATACCTAGGGGCTTTGTGTTTCTTCCTTTCCTTTTATTGTCTTGATGTAGCCCAGGTTGGGCAGAAATTAACAGTCTTCCTGTCTTAGCGTCCTGAATGTTGGGCTGAGTTAATATTCTTAAAGGAAGGTTGACTTGTACAAAGAAGATATTGGTTGATAGCTTTTGCCAGTTTCTTTTTTTTCTTTTTTTCTTTTTTTTTTTTTTGGTTTGTTTGTTTTTCGAGTCAGGGTTTCTCTGTATAGCCTGGGCTTTCCCAGAACTCAGTCTGTAGACTAGGCTGGCCTTGAACTCAGAAATCCGCCTGCCTCTGCCTCCCAAGTGCTGGGATTAAGGCATGCGCCACCATCGCCTGGCTTTTGCCAATTTCTAATTAAAATTTATCTCTGTTAAAAGTATTGTTCAGTAATATGAAATTTAGTTAGCAGTACTAGTTTCTAGTTCTATTGAGTTGATAGTGAATAACTATATAAGATGTAAGTTGAGTGATCTTGTTTAGTATTTGGAGTACAGTAGTATAATAGATTAATATCTGCAAACTTACTTTATGCCTAGCATAATATTGTCTTGGGTGCTTTGATCTTTTGAGTCATGGTGAAACAATTTTTATAGTATATAGCTTCTGCTAATGTGGCTTTGGGGTGGGGAGGGGCATGGGGAAGATGGCCAAGAATTTCAGAACATTTTGTTTTTGTTTTTGAAGAACTCAAATTGGTTAGTTTTCTCTTCATAGTGAATTTTATTAGACATATAATATTATGTGTATTGTGATGATACTTAATTCATTTGTGGCCCTAAACATATTAGAAAAATTACATAATACTAATTTATAAGTTTATAAATTTTAAGTTATGAAAAACCCCTCATTGTTTCATCAATGACTTGTTAATCTCATTTGATACAATTTTTCTGAAAACAAAAGCCTTCAACTAAGAAACCAGGGAGAAGTGGCACAGTCAGTGGGGGTAAGAGTGCTTGCTAAGTAGATGTAAGGACTTAAGTTCAAATTCCCAGCACTGTTGTAAAAAACGGGGTGTTGCTGTACATGCCTATGATCTCAGGGCTGTGGTGGGGAAGAGACAGGAGAATCACTAGAGTTTGCGTAGCTCCAGATTTCAGTAAAAGACACTGTCTCAGATGAAGAAGGCAGAGAGTGATAGCACAGGACACCCGGAGCAGACCTTCTGTGGCTTCCCAGTGAGCACATGGATGTATATATCTACACACACATACACACATTAACTACACACACTAAAATCTTTTTGGGGGCAGGGAGTTGTCCGAGATAGGAATTTTTTGTGTAGCCTTGATTGTTCTGGAATTTACTCTGTAGACCAGGCTGGCTTCGAACTCTTAGAAAGCCATCTGTTTCTGCCTCCTGATTGCTGGAATTACAGGCTTTGACACTCAGTCCAGCCTTCAGATTTGCATTTTCTTAGTAATATTAAGAGTTAAAATATGGGTGAGAGAGATAGCTTAGCGGTTAAGAACACTGTCTGATCTTCCAGAGGTTCTGAGTTCAATTCCCAGAAACCACATGGTGGCTTGCAACCATCTACAATGGGATTTGATGCCCTTTTCTGGCACGCAGGTGTACCTGCAGATAGTATGTGTGTGTGTATGAATTTTAAAATGCTTTTAGTAACTGAAATTACTAAAAAAAAGTTAAAATGTTTGATTCCTATGAAGAGATTTAAAAGGGGACTATTATATATCATTTAAAAAAAAATTACAGGGTTAGGGAGTATATGGCTCTGGTGAATAAATATTGGTGAAAAAGTGCTTGCCTAGCATTCAAGAGGGCCTGGGTTCTATTCCTAGCACATATTCCATTATCATCAACAACAACAAAAACCCAAAGCTGTGGGTTGTGGCTCTTAGCACTGTAGAGGTAGAAGCAGGAAGATCCCTGCAAGTTTGAAGCTAACTTGGGACAGAGAGTAAGTTCCAGATGAGTCTGGACTAGAATGAGACCCTGCCTTAAGGAAGCAAACAAAAAAAGATATATATGTATATGTGTGTATAATGTTTGAGAGCCTATTCATTAAAACCATTTATCTAGTCCTACTGATGTTGCATTAGTGGTTGCATTGTTATCCTTACCTCACATATACAGAATCTGGTGTTAGAAGCAGCTAAGTAAATTTATAGCAAAAAGATCACATACTTAGTAGATAAGAGTGTACTCAATCCTAAGTCTTTTGACACAAAGTAGCTGCTTTACAGCCACTACTTGTGTCATTATTAAACCTAGAAGCATCTTATGTATTGACAGATTTCCTTTCCCACTGTTTTATAACATTGTACTTGACCCCTAACTTTCTGTTATTTGTACACTGCCAAATACTTATATGATCAAGAAGGTATAAATTTGAATCCTTAAAGAAATGCTTTTTTTGTTTGTTTGGTTTTTTTTTTTTTTTTTGGTTTTTCAAGACGGTTTCTCTTTGTAGCCCTGGCTGTCCTGGAACTCACTCTGTAGACCAGGCTGGCCTTGAACTCAGAAATCTGCCCGCCTCTGCCTCCCAAGTGCTGGGATTAAAGGCTTGGGTCACCACTGCCCGGCTGAAATGCTTATTTTTTAAAGCAGGTCCAAATGCTATAAAATATGAACATTTATATTTTTTATCTTCAGTTTTTTATTTTATGTATATGAGTGTATATATGTACACCATTCTGGTTCCTGCAGAAGTCAGAAAAGGATATCAGATCCTCCAGTTGGTTGGGAGCCACCATAAGGGTACTGGGAACCAGACTCAGGTTTTCTGCAAAAACAACAGGTGCTCTTAACCTCTGAGCCATCTCTTCAACCCTTAGAAATTCATATTTTTAGCAAGACAGATTTTTGGCATTGCTACAGTTTGCTATATAATTACTAAATTGTACCTTTGAATTACTTAGTGAAAAATTAAAAATAACTTTAATAATATTTAATGTTGTTAAAGCTAGGTCATCTGATACTTGAGCGTCTTCATTGATAAGTCTCCCCACCCCCTTTATTCCATAGATAATTTAGAACTCTGTGATGTCTTCAAGAATTTAGGGGATTAGTAAGGAATTTGATGGGATCTAATTAGTCTGGTTTTCATATATGTATAAAGTGGTCAGTCTCTCACAAAGTGAGGAATAAACTGTTAAGTGATCCCTGTATGGTGACTGTCTCAGGTCAGGATGTTCCTTGGCAGGGTTTTCTGACCTGGTTTAGCTTTGGCTCTGACTATATTTATGCTCAGGGGTTAGGTATTCTTCAGGATTGAGTTCAGAAAGACTTCTCAGATTGGTCTATACCAGAAGATTTGGATTTTAAAATCAGCATGCTTCCTAAGGATGTGGTTTAACACCTCCTGGTCAAGGCTGGAATCTCTAAGTTCTCTTTGGAGGTTAGAGTATAAGAATAGTTCTTCCTTCTTGTCTCATGCCACCAGCACATGTATGTGCCACATGCCACTGTGTCCTTAGGTTCTAGGGATCTGAA